CTCTCTGTATATTTTACTCGGTCTGCTCCATGGTTCACCCCTGCCCTACGCTCCTTGAAAGCTACCAACCGGAGGCTTGAAAGACTCTACAAGAAAACCGGTCTCACCATCCATAAAGACTTATATTCTGCTCAGATTTCTCTCTACAAGGACTCCATCTCCCATGCCAAATCTCAGTATTACTCCGGTCTCATCTCGTCCAACTCCAGCAACACTAAGACATTATTTTCCATCATGAACAGCATTTTTCAGCCTCCCGACTCCTTACCCATCCATCTTTACTCTTCAGAAACCTGTAACTCTCTCCTTCAGTTTTTTTATGATAAGGTCAATAGAATCCATCTCTCTTTACCTCATTCCTCCCCTCCCTCTCCTGATTTATTTGAACCCACCATTCAGTTCTCCTCCTTTGAACTTCCCCATCCCTCAGAAATATTAGATTACATTACCAAATCCAAACCTTCCACCTGTCAACTGGACCCTATTCCAACAGTTTTAGTTAAATCGTGCCTTTCTTCTCTGCTCCCTTTTATAACAGCCAACATTCATTCCTCATTATCCTCTGGTACGGTCCCATCCCTATTCAAATCCGCTTCAGTCAGCCCTATTCTAAAAAAACCTGGTTTAGATCCCAATGATTTCAATAACCTCCGTCCCATTTCCCATCTTCCCTTCATTTCCAAAGTCCTAGAGAAAACTGTTGCATCTCAGCTCCATTCCCATCTCACCCGCTATAACCATTATGAACAGTTTCAGTCTGCCTTCCGTCCCCACCACAGCACAGAAACAGCTCTCATCAAGATCACTAACGACCTACTCATTGCTGCTGATTCTGGTTTAATCTCTATTCTCATTCTCCTCGATCTGAGTGCGGCCTTTGACACCATTTCTCATCCCATCCTCCTTAATAGACTCTCTTCCTTAGGCATCACTCTCACCCCCCTCCGCTGGTTTCAATCTTACCTTACTGGCCGCACTCAGTTCATCCAGTTAAAATCCTTTACCTCAGAACCCTCCCCAGTCAAGTCAGGTGTGCCCCAGGGCTCTGTCCTGGGGCCCCTCCTCTTCATAGTATATCTCCTTCCTATCGGCAAAATCTTCCGCAAATTCAATATCCAGTTTCACTGCTTTGCGGATGACACCCAGCTCTACATTTCCAGTAAGCCCAACTCAACTCTCCCACCATCCTCCCTTACACTCTGCCTCTCTGAAATCAAATCATGGTTCACCTCTAATTTCCTCAAACTCAACGGCAATAAAACTGAACTTCTTCTAGTTGGCACTAACTCCACCCTCTCAACATCTGACAGCTTTTCTTTAACTATTGACAGCGCCATAGTCTCCCCCTCACCTCACGTCAAGAGTCTGGGTGTCATTCTCGACAGCTCACTTTCTTTTCAGGCTCACATTAATAACTAATTCGGTCAGCATACTTCCATCTACGTTCCATAAACCGTCTCCGTCCCTCACTGACCCCTCACACTGCCGCCATTCTCGTCCACCGACTCGTCACCTCCCGTATCGACTATTGCAATTCACTTCTTTATGGTCTCCCCAACAAACTCCTTCATAAACTGCAACTGGTCCAGAATTCAGCAGCCCGTATTATCACCAGAATCCCTTCCTTTAACCACATCACCCCGGTTCTCCAGCAGCTTCACTGGCTCCCAGTTAAATTCAGGTCCATCTTCAAAATTCTCCTTCATACCTTCAAAGCAATCCACAACCTCTCTCCTCCATATATCTCAGACCTTATAAGTATTCACACCCCATCCCGTTCACTCAGATCTTCTTCTTCCATCCATCTTGCGGTTCCCTCTGCCCGTCTCGCTACCATGGGGAGCAGAGCTTTCAGTCGCTCTGCTCCTCGACTCTGGAACTCACTTCCACCAGACATCAGGAACATCGACAGTTTTACCCTTTTCAAAACAAAACACACATGTTTAAATCTGCCTACAACCTCTGATTTTATTGAACTGTTTCTCTCTTTGTTTTTTCTTCTTTGGGTTTTATTATTGTTTTATTGTATTTTATTACGTGTTTTGTGTAAAGTGACCTTGGGTGTCCTGAAAGGCGCTTTTAAATAAAATGTATTATTATTATTATTATCGCAGCTAATCATGATTGTTGTCAGAGGGGACGCCTGCTAACTGAAACAATAACTTCCAACCTCTTCGCTGTCTACTGTCTTGGCTCCTGCGCCGGCTCCTACGTCGCTTGTCGTCGGTCCCCCCATTCTTTTATGTCAGCTTCCTGTCTTGTGTCGCACCAGAAGAGGAAATCTAGCTGGCTGTGAGCCCAAAACCTAGATATGAAACCAATGCAAACAAACATATCTACACTGCTTATCATTACTTGTACTACCTTACACCCTCTATATGGTAGTTTTTTAATCTCTGATCATCTTTGTCAACCAAGATCACAATCTAATCCCATTTTTCCATCTTTATTTATCATCCTAAATTAAGTACTGGTCTAATTCTTAACCAGGAGTCACTGTGACTGTAAAGGGCCCTATACCTTCTCCTCTGTGGCATCACAGCTAATCATGATTGTTGTCAGAGGGGACGCCTGCTAACTGAAACAATAATTTCCGACCTCTTTGCTGTCTACTGTCTTGGCTCCTGCGCCGGCTCCTACGTCGCTTGTCGTCGGTCCCCCCATTCTTTCATGTCAGCTCCTGTCTTGTGTCGCACCAGAAGAGGAAATATAGCTGGCTGTGAGCCTAAAACCTAGATATGAAACCAATGCAAACAAACATACACTGCTTATCATTACTTGTACTACATTACACCCTCTATATGGTAGTTTTTTAATCTCTGATCATATTTGTCAACCAAGATCACAATCTAATCCCAGTTTTCGATCTTCATGATCCTAAATTAAGTACTGGTCTAATTCTTAACCAGGAGTCACTGTGACTGGACACCCCCGCACTGCCCCCACACATCCCTCACCTCCCACCTTGAACCTCTGCTCTGGTCATGAAGCATGGCTAAAAGCACGTACCTCGTCTCCCTCTTTCTCTCTCATGTTGGCTCAGACATAAGCAAACAGTCCTCTAAGCAAACAGAGCAACAAAGCTGTCAACACTCTTCATTTTAGCACAAGTGACACTGTGGTGCTGAGCTGACTCACAGCAGAGAACTGGGTGGTAATTCTATTGTGTGCATTTTTATTCACAGTTGTGGATTAAAAAAATGGGTTAAAATATTAAAATAGCATGGCTGCTAATTAAAAGGCAAAATTTTTAATTTTGTTAAAATTGTAAAATTTTAACGTAAAATTTAGATACTTTTTCCTCTTTTTTTTTACATTTTTATTTCTTTTGGGGCTTCTGTTTTGTTTCTTTTTGTGCAACACACAACTTTGGCTTACTTATGAAACTTTGTGATGCAAACATGGTAGCTTTAACTTATCAGAATACCCAACTATTTGTTAGTAAATGTGAGTCACAACACATGCAAACATTCATTTACTTCCTCTGTCTCATAGAAAAGCTTTATATTGACATTGAGAAGACACCCACTGCTGTGACAGACACACGCACGCACGCACGCACGCACGCATGCACACGCGCCTTTCCAGGAAGCTTTGGTATGTTTCCTTTACTCTAGCCCCACGAGCAGTGGCAGATTTAGCAATTTGGAGGCCCAAGGCGAACACAGACATGGGGCCCCTTTACACTAAATTTTTGACAATCTTGTCTTTAACTGGATTTGCAAAACCCTACCCTCGTCTGACATGAGTTACTTTCACTTTTTATTAGTCCTCTTTTTTTCCTGTCTCTCTCCCTTTTGAGTGCCTTCAATATTTGCTCTGCTTTCTTCTTTCTGTTAGTGCTCCTGTGCTTTTGCCTTTTTTTTCTATTTTCCATTTTGGTCTGTTTCCCTCCCTTAAAACATTTTCCATTGTCTTTCCTTTTCTGCTTCCTTTTGATGTTTACATCGAAAAATGACGTCACTTTTGAAAGTGAAGATAAAAGCTTTTTTAAAGCATGCTGCTGCTTTCTCTTACTGGAGCTTAGCCTAGTGAACTAGACCAAATTCTTGCTTTGCAAAGTTTCGTCTAGGAATGCTCCACTGGAACCTCTGCAGCCCCAACAGCATTCTGGCTGGCCAATCACAGCTCTCTAGAGGGGTTTCAAACACATGAAGAGCTGTGATTGGTCCATAATGGTGGGCCAATCATAGTGCTCTATCTGCTAAGTGAACAAATCACAGAGCTTTATCCACTTTGTGAGCCAATCAGAGCACTCTATATGCCTGGTGGGTGGGATGATGCAACAGAGTGAAACAAGAGTATGTCACATTCATTGTCCAGTGGAATGCGGAGATCATTTGAAAGACAACGGTAGAACCCGCCCCACAACCGAGAGCCGTCAATGGAGCGTTGCCAGACTAAATAATACATTTATTTAGTCTGGCTTGCCAGGCTAATTGGAGCCACTAGGATAACTCCATTTCATGCTTAATGTTTTGACTACTTCTTCAAGTTTGTAGTGAATGCTCCTGCCTCTCTTCTTATTATTATTTGTAGTCTTATGGCACTTGGCAAACAACAATTTGGTGCATTACTGCCACCAACTGGATTGGAGTGGAATGACTACCAATCACTTCCTGTTTGTGCATTGGCATCTTAAATGAATAGTCCATTGTGGCATTAAGAGGGGTGCCAGCAGTCAGGGCTAGGGGGCCCCAGGCGGCTGCCAACCTATGCCTAATGGTAAAACCGCCACTGCCCAGGAGGACTGGCGTGGTGAGGATATTGTTTGGTAAGCATTAATGTGTAAGGTGAAGATGATATTTGCTCTTGTATATTTATGTAACATCTTCACTAATCTAAATATTTTAATCTTTCATTTTAAATCTAAAATCTGACCTCTGCACAAAATCATGGTGCCATCTTTTTACAACTTCAGTCCTCTTGAGAGAAAGTCATTCTAACTGCGCCATAATGAATAAAGTCTAAAATTTGTTTCAAAATATCTTCTTTTGCAGAAACTTTGGGTCCTTTTGTTTTGATGATGGATGAAGATTAGTTTCAAGGACCTACACAAGTACAGTTGTTGATTTATGATCAAAGTAAAGCATTCCCACAACCACAGGTTATTTAGCATCAATCATTTTTTCAGGTGATTCATACAATCAACATGCTGGATTTTGAAAGACTTGTTTGCTTTGCACATGTTGCCAGAGAAGCTTAAAAATGTACAAACCAGAAATGTGATTTTGATCATTTGTAATGTCTGAAAAAGCAAATGTCTAAATAAAATAATGAAATCAATGTATTAATGGCAACTTGGTAGCAAAATAAATCATTTTTTAAATCCGGTTTCCCTGGTTTAGTATAGAAGCGTGGAACATATGTTTAAATAAAAATATTGTTATTCTTTGTGCTGTCGGTTTTTTAAATTATGCAAGTGTTATGAATCAAAAAGGTCAACTTTCACCATCGAATTGACACAGCATAACTTTTCATACATGCCAGAGCTGCAAAGTCAAGGTTGCACCATCTGGAGGATCCAGACGCACATCAACCTTTTAAATAAACTGTCAAGGTCTCCCGCAAAAGCTCTTAGCTCTCTGCCCAGACTGCTGGATACCTCACTCTGACTAAAAGTGAACCTACACGAATCTTACAAGGCTTTACATCTTATAAGTTAAATAATCATATGTGGTGAATGAACAAGATGTTTAAATCAAATGTTTGAATAACCTGTGCTTAAATCAGTGAATTTTAAATTAATATTGTTCTTACAATGATCCATTTATCTCACAAATTACTGTGTTTTAACAAGTTAATCATTATCTAAACTCATACACATCTTCATAAGATACAAATTAAGGTTAAGGTTCACCTCACATAAGTGTTTTAAACCATTCTCATTCACAGTGTTACAAACATTTTTGTATCTGAGGAGGATGCGGCTTTCTGAGGGATGTTGGTAAATACTCAGAAACGTGTCAAATTCTGACTGGCCAAACTTGGCCAGAAATCATAACAAAGTAGTTTAATAAAACAAGAATAACTTGCAGAATAATTCAGTTTCTAGCAGAGTTCTGAACCGGCCAATTTGGAGCAAGCATCCTTGAGACCTATTTTGACATAAAGTCAAAACCTGTTTGCATGCTGCAAGCTGACACAGCCAGCCACATCCACTTTGGATGCAAACAAGCATTCCAGCTATTGTGACCTGGAGACATCTCAAGACTGAATGGGTCATATCAGAGTTAATCTATCCAATCCCGGTGCTGTGAGGTCCACCCGACTTCTGACAGTCCGGATCTGCTGGGTGTCTCCGCCAGGGTTTGTAGACACAGATTGTGTCTGATGCTGTTTTATTAATCAGCTCTCTAGTTTATAGCAGACAATTTATTTTACACCCAGTTTTCACAATTTCATTTAGATACAAAGATTCTGATAAACGTCTAACTTGCATCACACCACCTACACATCACATTCCATCACCGCATATCCCATCCATCGCATCTCATTCTTGTCATGTATAATCATTAGTTTAGAAAATAATAAAATGTCTTTTTAGCTAAATACTTGACTCTGGCTGAATTAATACTAAGTGTGTTTATGGTCCCTGAACAAGTAAAAGTAACTATAATCTTCTGATTGAACATTCAAAGATCAATCAGATTGATATTTCATATTTATATGGAATCATCACATTTTATTGGTCATAATTTAATTTGCAGTCGTCGCTCTATAATGTGTGACCGCTACACAAGTTATTTATACATTGTTTTTGCTGCGTGGCTGAGTTTTAAAGGCTCAGCTGTACTTGATGTGAACTATCAGCAGGGGCGAGGAACCCTGATCCATTAAGGGCCGCTATCCAGCATATTTCAGTTTCTGCCCTGCTTTATTTAACACACCTGGTTTCAATCAGCAGTTGATTAACAGGCTTCTGCAGAGCTTGATGCTGAACAGGTGATTCAACCACTGAATTAGAGGTGTTGGAGCAAAGACATGCAGGATACCGGCCCTCAAGGACCAGAGTTCACCACGCCTGACTTAAGCCATTTTTACAAGACACACCATGCCGGCAAATCGGCATAATATTACCGCAATGGTATGTCTTCCACCAACACTTGGGGCCTTGGGAGTGAGCACGTTCAACGGCATTTGGCAGGGGGATCTTTCAGCCTCATCCCGAGTGCTGGTGCCCACTTCCAATATTAAACTGCACTTAGAGGCATGTGGGTGCAAGTGGGGTAGTGTGGTGGCATCTGCTGGCGTAGGCCAGACAATGCCCGCCCTGCCTGCTCACCACAGACATGGAATACACCTCATCAACACGCACTAACACTATATTGGAGCAGGCAGAGGGAGACTAGGGGTCTTAGCACACCTCTGTTGTCACTTGACTTCCTGGGGCTGGAGGCTAGGAGGGAGATCTGGCCGTCTGGTTGGGGTCTGGGGTGGTGGGTTGCTTTGCTCAGTGTTGGGCGAGGGAGCCTGCTCATCAGCACCCCAGCAGAAAGGGTCGAACTCTGGGAACCGTTAATGGTTGTACCCCATGTGCAGCAGTAGGACCAGAGTGAATAGGGTGTGTATGGGGAGCATGAGTGGGTGTCCGGCGTGCATTTTTGTAAGTCTTGGGTTGTATGTGCATGTGTGAGCATGAGGGAGGAAGTGTGTGACTGTGTTTGTGTATGACTGTATTTGTCAGGTGAGGCCTTTGACTCCTCCCCTTTCCTGGGACTTCTTTTGATGATATAGATCTTTGTCTCCCCTCCCCCTCCACACCTGGTGTGGAGTACGGTGCCTTGGTCTGCCTGGGTGTTTGTGGCTCCCAGGTCAGGGGGTTTAAGATTTTTGGCATCTGCCTGATCATTCCCGGTGGCTGCCTGCTGGGATCTGGGTCCCTGGGCTCTGCTGGGTCCCCGGCGGGGGTGGTCGCCCCAGGGTCCCAGGTTGCTGGGTCCCAGGCTCGGCCGGCCGGGGGGTGGGAGGCCGCGGGCGGGCCTGTGGGCTTGCCGCTGATATCTCCGCGGACTCTGCCGGCTGTCAACTTCAGGGTTCATTTTAAGACCCTGGTTCTGGTCTTTAGGGCCTTACATGGACTAACACCATCACTGGTGATCTTCTCAGTACCTACACCCCCAGCAGGTTCCTGAGGTCCAGTGATCAAAACCTACTGGTTGTGCAGCACCAGGCTAAAGACCAAAGGTGACAGATCATTTGCTGCTGTGGCCCCTAGACTCTGGAACTCTCTCCCCCTGAGCCTGAGATCAGTGGACTCAGTGGTCTCCTTTAAAAAGCAGCTGAAGACTCACTTATTGAAGCTGGTTTTTGTGTAAGCTTCAGTTGACTCACCACTTGCTTGTTAGCCAGCTCATGTTTCTGGTATTTCTGTATATTTAGGTCTCCCTACTTTGTTTTTGTTTTTATGTGCTTGTTGAATGCCTTGTGATTTGTCTTTGAAGACACTATACAAATAAACATTTCTTTGACAATCTTTGTTAAAACAAAATAACAGGTATTTTGTGCTGCATTTGCAGACATATCAGCCCATCTAGATCTTATATAATTGATTACTTAAATGCTTTCCCCTGCTGGCCTTGTCGTTCTGACTTCTGATTTTTTTTTTCAAGGATTATTTATTTAGATGAATTTTGACTATTCTTTCTGTACTAAAATGAGTGAACAAGACTGCAATAGTGTGTCTTATAGATGCCTAAAACAAACCACAAATATCTTTGATTCCTCCGTTTATTTAGCATTTTGTTGTTTCGATTAGTCTAATTTAGCAAAAAAAAATGTTTCATTTTACAAAATTCTTGTACTGAGCCATAAATTGAAGGGAATGATATAATACTTGAACTCTTCAAATTTAACAGGTTATGAAATGCTATGTGATGTAAGAGTTCAGAACTGTCCAGCAGCAAGTTTGACAAAGTAAAAAGAAAACCCAAAGTGTTTCTGAGAGGAATCAAGTGTTTGAACATAACAGTCGCTGACAGCCCCCTCCCCTTTACCATCACTGAACACTCAGACCAGTTGTATACATGAACAATAGAATTGGCTTTAAAGACACCAGCTAAGAAGGACCCGTGGACTTCATGAACCAAGGAAACACGGATAGGCCTGCGTCAGAGCCTTTTTGGATCTGAGCATCATCGGTAAGTTAATGAGTTGCTTTACACTATATTCAGTCAAATGTGGAGTTAGGTTTCCATTGCTGTTCTGCTGACACTGAGCTGTGACTGAGCTTTGTTCTTGGGAAACCAGGCCAGTTTTAATCAACGAGTGAGTAAAGTCATAACATTTAACTCCAAACATGATTATTCTTGAGCTTTTCAGCAAAATGAACGTCCCAAGGAATTTTCGTTGAATAATAGCTGCTTTTTATTCCTGTGGTCTTCACTGAGCATCCTCTTCTTTGGATCTAAGTGTGACTGATCTTTTCAGAGGACAGCAGCTGCCTGGAAGCCACTGAACAACAATGAGCTGGAAGATGAGGACACTCGCAAAGGTGACCAGAGAGGTAGGCTATTTTTAAATGAGTGAAAACTTGATTTGTAGCTGACTGGAAACATCTTTATGATCAGGTAATAACTAAACTTAGCCATGTGGAAGGGGAGGGGTCTAAGTTTTCAATAATTTGCTTTGGTGAGACTGAGTTTTAAGCATTTCGGGACATGTGTCACTATATGATCTGATTAACAGGACAGGTACATGATGATTCTCTCATTCTGCTCATTGATCAGAACAGATTCTGTAACATGGGGCTCAGTGCCAGTCCCTGCCCTCTCTGATTTATGAATGAATCATACGTTTGCACATCTGATGGATGGTTTTCTGTTATTTCTCAAAATCGTGATTGAAAATGAACCCAATTCCCCCTCAGACGATGATGTTGAATGACGTTGCTTTAAGCCCCTTTTGAGGGAGGAGGGCGACTTCATTTAGTTTTGATCTGAAGGTTGATAAACAAATGATTTGAACAACAATAAAAGACAAGATGTTGCCCTAAGGGAGGAGTTATCATTGTCAAGGAGACAATGCAACCTTATTTTTAAAGTCATTATTAAACAAATAAAACTGCGGGAGTTTGTAGAAACACCTACCGGATAAGTGCACATGCGATCCACAAAAGAGCTGGTTTCTAATTAATGGGGAATAGACGGACCTGTTGGCCGGACGGCGCGGACCCTGACAGGGGGCTATGCGGACTCCGCTATGGACCGACCCCGTGAGTTCTGACATGCCTTCGCTGGTTTTCCCCTCTACTCTGCCTTTTGCTAGTTAGTCTATTTTCATGCTTTACGCGGTGGGGGTGCAGCGTCACGGGTTGATGTTTAATCGCGCAGAGAGGCGCGTGCTCGCTCGCGTTATCGCCGTCCGGCTCCTCAGGGAGGTAAATAAAAGCTTTTCCCTGCACGCAGCAGTGATGAAAGTCCGGTAGGTGAGCTGAGCGCTCTCTCGTCCTGTTTGGATACCGGTCTGCTGTCCCGAACCGAACCGACGCTCCGTTTGTTCAGTTTTACCACGATGTTTGAAAAAGATGCTGATCTTTTTTGCGAATGTTGCGGAAAACTTGTAAAGGTAAGAGCGCAGATTCGCAGGTGTGAGCCACGTGCAGCAGAGCTCAGATTACCATGCTGGATATGAATGAACGCACGTATCCTTTAGGGAGATGTGTATTAATGCAGATTGTTGGTCTCCTGAACGAGAACACTTGCACCAAAAGTCAGGTGATTGTTTACCGAGGTTAAATGCACGTGACCTCCAACTTTTATCTCTAAAAATAGATGTGAGTAGTAAATAATATACCTGAAACATTTTGCACAAAGAGGCGAGTCAAGAGAAGAAAAGCTTGAAATAGTTTCACAACACTGTTAAGATGGTTTTTAATATGCTGTTTTTGTACAAGAAATAGGACCAGATTTCCTCTTTGTATCAAAGTCTTCAGGATTGATCTTCTAAAACGTGAGAATGACTTTTGATAAATGAAGGAAACTGTTAGGGGGTGGATCAGTCCGAGGAGATTCAACTGTAGTAACTATATACATTCAGATATACCCGTTCAATAATCTTATGTTGAAATAAATTGACTGCTAGTTGTAATGGCAGCAGAAGTGTGCATGGCAGGTCTCCCACGTGGAGTTGGCATTAGCATAAATTTTAGGCCTGAAAGGTTGTTTTAAATGCCTGTTGTGTGATTTTTTTTTCTTTCCTTTTTTAAAAGTCGTCAAACTTGAGTTGGCAATGTTTCGCAGTAAAGATACTACGGTTTGAACTTTATTTCTCCTTCCATTCGTCATTCTTAATAATGCCAAGAGTTCAAAGGGATGAGGAATAGAATGGGGCAGAGAATGAAACTAAATCAGCTGGACTGTTTTCTGGGTCACCGTGCATCCGGTCATCCATTTTTCCATGTCTTTACCTGCTTGATGTGGTAAAAGGTCACAGGGAGCTAATTCTTGTCTTCAGTATCAATTGGCGAACTCCTTGACCGGTCACCAGTCAATCAATCACATGTCCAACTAATTAATTCATGGGAAAAAGTGAAATATTTCTGGTCAGTATAGCTTTCAAAACTTGGACTCTTTATGAATTTCACTCAAATTTTCCATGAAAGCTACAATGTCAGATATGCTAAACAAGCTAACTTAAACATTTTTTTCATGCATATTGACATTTTAACATTGTATAGCTATAAATATTTTGTGCAGTTGGAAATAATGAGGTGTTCTCTTGCATTTGTCTAAATACCTCTGCCAATAACACAACACGGCCTGAAAGCAACTATTGGACCACTCATTACACATTTGCATATTTTGCAACAGAACACCACTGGTATGAGAGGTACTCCACTCAATATCAGAGAAGGAAAAACAGCTTTAGGACACACTACCAGAGTCCCAAACAGAAAAACACCATTTGAAATCATGTTCAACAAAAGGCTTTTGGACCTAGAAAATGGCGACTGGTGTTTAGCACTCTCTCGGTTATTCTAAACGATTTCATAAGACACACCACGCCATCAAATCAAAGTAATACTGCCGCCACAGTGGGCCTTATGAAAGTGCTATGGTATCATGACGAAGCATGAACTTTGTGGCTTTGATGCCACTAAGCTTGGTTGTATTACATTAACTCTGGACATGTGAATGAAGATTAGCCATGGTGCAAAAGAGGGTGGTGTCATGATCACGTGTGGAATGTCCGCAGAGCTGCTGCCGGCAACTATATTGAAAAGGAAATTACACATGGGCAGTCAATTTTACTTTTGTTAATAGAATCAGCTGAGACGGTAAACTGGAGCAGTGCAGAGCACCTGGAGCTTTTCTCCATTACAGCTGGAGCTCAGATCACCAAACAGTTCACAGGGTGGAGGATAGATTCCTTTAGAAGCGGCTTGTCAAAAAAAACTTAAGATCAGAATTCATCAATTTTCGGCCGCTTATCAGGGGTTGGGTCGCGGGGGCAGTAGCCTAAAGGTTGGTTTATGCTTGACGCTTCCGCGAGGTCCGCACGGCTCCGTGCGGAAAAGTTGCGTCATTTTGCGTCATCTTAACAACCACGCCCCTCCACCGCGCCTCCGCACGGCCCAAGATTTCCGCAACGCGCACCTAGGAAATTTTCTAACCACGCGGACGGTCGGTCTCGGAAAAACATGGCGGACCGGCAAGAACTAGTATGGCAGAGGTTCGTAAATACAGACATTTGTATGATTCAGCTCTCAGAGATCACTGTGATCAACATGTTAATAATTCTTGGAGAGAAAAAGCTCGCACTGTCGGAAAAGACGAGGACGCTGTTAAAAATGCTGGAATGCCATGTTGTAAACAGTAATTTTTACTTCTACTACGGTGTAGTGTTGGATGCTTGTCGTAGAGCTCCATGCTGCCCCGTTCAGTTTGGGAGAATATTGGCTCACCGCAGAGACAAGCCGCACGAACCATAAATGCTGCGAGTTGTGAAGCGCGTTCCAGCCGCGAGCCGCATTACCAAGCGGAAAGTGAATGCGTCAAGCATAAACCAAGCTTAAGCAGGGAGGCTCAGACTTCCCTCTCCCCATCCACTTGGACCAGCTCCTCTGGGGGAATCCTAAGGCGTTCCCTGGCCAGCTGAGACGTGGTCCCTCCAGTGTGTCCTGGGTCTTCCTTTAGACCTCCTCCTGGTTGAATGTGCCCAGAAAACCCCACTAAGGAGGCATCAAGAAGGCATCCTAACTTGATGCCCAAGCCACCTCAACTGGCTCCTCTTGATGAGGAGGAGCAGCAGATCTATTCTTAGCCCCTCACCAGATGACTGTGATTCTCACCCTATCTCTAAGGGAGAGCCCAACCACCCTGTGGAGAAAAATCATTTCGGCCGCTTGTATCCGTTATCTTGTTCTTTTGGTCACTACCCAAATCTCGTGACCATAGGTGAGAGTTGGAATGTAGAACGACTGGTAAATCACCACGACAGATCAATACAGAGCCCGCATCACTGCAGACACAGCACCTATCTGCCTGTCGATCTTGGAATGTCATTTGGACTTGAAGTGTGGTTGGATGGTGACAAAAAAAAGGGAAGGTATTCCACACAGCCTGTTGGTCTTGCGCTCCATCTGTGACCATTTTTTAAATTTAAAAGCTAGCTTGTTCTGGGCTGCTTGGTGGTGCGGTTGTTAGCACTGTTGCCTCGCAGCAAGAAGGTTGCAGGTTCGAAACTCGGCTGCAGCCTTTCTGCCTGGAATAGCATGTTCTTCCCATGCATGCGTGGGTTTCCTCCAGGGAATTCCAGGTTTCCCTACAGATCACAACATGCCATATAGGTTAACAATTGTACGTCGCGTTGGATAAAAGTGTCCGTCAAATAAATAAACATAAACCTAAATTTGCTGAAGCAGCTTTAAAGGTCTCATTTACTCGTTTTTCTTTTTCCAATAACTTTGTTTTCAGTATGAATGCCTGGAGTCATTTTCTGTGGAAAAACTGCTCTTGTGCTCCTGTTTGAAGGGGTAGAAGTTTGTCAGAAGAATCGACTGGCAGAAAATGCCAGGATTACAAGTTTTACTCGTCAATGTTCTTTATACGCAAAAGCCTGTAGCCTCAATTTGGCCAACAACACTGCAGCTCTTACTCAACAATACTCAACTCTGCTGTTCGTTCTTTATTGTTGGCTGGGATGTTTTAACTCCACAAATAACGCAAGCTCAAATGTGTTCTGCCATGTTGTGGAGCTGCTAATGCTAATTGTTAGCTTCTATTAGCTGAGGCGTGTTCTGCTTTCCCCTGGCTGTAAAATCACCCACAAGCTAAGGTCGGCTTGACCATGAATATTAATGTTCTTTTGTTTTCCCATGTATTTTCTGTCTGTGGCTAATGCAGACGATAGGGCTTGAACATTTTCACATTCATCATGCACACTCAAGGACGTAATTTTCACTTTAGAAGTGGGGGGGACACGGGGGTGGGGGGGTGGGGGGGGGTGGTATCTTTACAGTTTGTCCTAATGGGAAACAGGCTTCAACACAAACGGTTGTTTTCCGCTTTGTCCTAGAGCTCAACCAGTGTCAATTTAATATAGCGTAATATTGTTTTTGGATGGTAAAAAGTGCAGGGGTCAAAACTTGACTTTGGAAAAACTGGGGGGACATGTCCCCCCTGTCCCCCCCCCAAAAATTACGTCCATGTGCACACTCAACTCTGCGACCAATCGTATTTCAAAAAGAACAAGTATTACAGTTTCACCGTGAATGAGACCTTTAACATCTGGACATATTCTCTAGTGTGGGGAACAGGGTGGGATTCCATTTACCTTTTTGAAGCAAAGGGATCACATACTAGAAGAGGCAGTATGTGAAAGTTCACATACTGACCTCTAAAGCCACTTGACAATAACCTCTTGACATATGTTAAATCTGACACTTCCTGGAATGCTGCCAAATATTAGCTCATGTCGCAAAAATACAGAAGTCACACTGGTAATGGGTTGGGTCTTCACACTACCGATGCTTGATCTGCAGGTTTATTTTCAGTTTCTGGAAGTCACATCAGCAAGCATAATCACATGGGGAGATGCATTGATGACCATTGTTTTAATCAGTCTCGTTCACAAGGGAAAATTACAGATCTGTTTTTAAAGCATGACGAAGCAAACAGAAAAAATTAGGCCGCTCAATGTAAGAGCTGATTCTGCAGGTTTCAGCACAGCCTTCGCGTACTTCTGTCACCATAAAAGTGCAAGAGGTTATCA